TCGGGATCGAACCCATGTGGAAGTGGCTTTACCTTCTTAGTGCAGTGCTTTAACCCTTTGTGCCACCAGGGAGGGCCCGAGGTTATTTCTTTGTAACCACTTCTCTGGGAAGGAAACCAATGAAAGTAAATGCAGCAATGTAAGTGAAAGGGATTTATAAATAGCGGTGCTGTATGTGAAGCTGGGGCTCATGCAACAGGAGTTGTTTTATGTTTAAGGGGGGCTAGTCATCAATTAAGGTGGAGACCTGCTTTTTCAGGACTCCTTCCTAGTGTTTAGTCAATCTGAAGTGAGTTCATGGGTGCCCTCATCAAGTTCATGACCAAACCAAGTAAGTTCCTGTATTCTCCCTTCCCAGCAGGAGCTAGTACACCCAGCAGGGCTGGGATTGTGTGTACAGTTGTTCTAAAATCAGAGCACAAACCATTCATTTGCAGCAGACTACTCTTTGTGAACTCTTCTTTCCTAAAATATTTTAATTCCTTTTGCTAGCTCCTGGCTTTTGCTTTTTTTTTTTTATGTGAATAACTAGGTTATACGTCTTTTTAAAAATGTTAATTCAAACACAGAACATAGCATTCTTCATACGGACAGTTTTTGAACCCTGCCCCTGCAAAGAAAAACAAAGCAAACTCTTGAAAGAATTATAGAAGATGTCCTGGCTACAGCTATGACTTTCTTTGTTTGTAGTTTAAAAATTAGTGGGAGAATCATGATCTAAGGCAGGGTAGTTTATACAGAACATCTTAAGGCCACTTCATCAGGCGAGGTTCTGTAATAAGTCTTTGATTCGGCTGGTTCACACCATGCAAAAATGTCCCATCGGTTCAGAGTTCTTCCTGGCAATAAACTTCCAGTGTAAACAGGAAGACTCTGGGATTGTTGCACATTTTACAAACGAATGATACTTGTTTGCACTCAGTCATTTTCACTGTGTATCAAGAATTGAGGTGATTAGTAAGAGTTATGGGTTATATTCAAAGCAAAGGTGATTTACCATAGTAAGAATAGAAATTTCCTTGGTGGGCACAGACAGCAAAAGAATATAAATAATAGGAAGAGTATTTGCTATGAAGTGCCTTTAATAATCTTTCTAAAATTCTATGACTCTGAAGAAAATGATGATGACATCATCATTACTAACAATGAACTGGGAGCCCCTACCTATTGTATTCTGAGTCATGTTGCACTGTAAGAATATTAGTGTGTCCCCAAAATTGGAATAGTGTAACTTTCAAAAGAAGCGTACTTTTTATTTTGGGGGTGGGGGAGGGAGGCCAGTGAAGCTTCTTAGAAGAATTGATGACTAACCTTTATGATATAAAAAGTATAATTTGTGTCTAATCTGTAGTGGGAACAAGAATGGGGGTACTTCAACAATAGTCACATTGTACACTAATTTTGAAAGAGAGAGCCAAGTTTCCTGGCAAGAGGAGCAACTATGCAATTAGCACCATAGCAGGCTGAGGAAGGTTACATAGTTATGAAGGGGAATATACACGTGATTGCACACACTTTCATTTCTTTAATACTTACTTGAGCTTTGGGGATATGCACTGCTCTGAATCAGTTTGAATGAATTTTTCCAAAATATAAAAGGAAGGCTCAAATAGCACTTAAATTTATTTGGGTGCTCATAAAAAATGGGAATATTAGGGTTAAAAGGATTTTTGTGTGGGGATATAGAACAGGTTTGTTTTATTTTTTAAAAAAGATTTATTTACTTATGCATACAGAACTGAGGTACAGGCCAGAGGCGTAGGGGTGGTGAGAGGATTCACCAGAGACAGAGTGAGCAATAGAACAGGCAGATCAAAGTACACTGATGAGGGGAGCAGCGGGTGGGTCAGGAGAGGTCTATGGCGCCTTCTGGTCACTTCCTGGGACTGGGGTCGAACTCATGCTGAAGTGGCTTTAGCTTCTTAGTGCTGTGTTTTAACCTGCTGTGCCACTGGGGAGGTGGGGAGGGTCAGTTTTTTTTTTTTTTAAGATTTATTTATTTATTTATTCATACAGAAC